GTCTCCGTACGTTCATGAGATGGGCGTGTCAGGCACCGCACTCGTGGTAGGTAAATGTTCATGATTACTGTCTTGTGGATCATTGTCTATCACTGTATTATTGTCACTATCAACTTCATCCAATTCAGGAATCATTATTTCATCGCCACTATCATCATCAGAACAAATCTCGTTCACAACACTTTCCAGCTGGTCTGTAGGAACACTCCGACACTTGCTGCAAGAAGCCATGGTGAAACTGAATGAATGTGAAATATTTTCTGACCTTTTCCTTCTCAGAGGGTTCAAAGTTTACAAGGGTTCTTTACAAACATGCACAAAAACTATCATATCTATGTCTTTGGTTGATGTGTGCCAAGAGAGCAAAGAAGGGAAGAGATTTTCAAAGCGTTAAAACACGCCAACGCCAGGGAATGGCTGGCATCGTCCGGGCGTTAAAACACGCCCGCGCCAGTCAAAGAGTTAAACAGTGTTCAGAAATAAACATATGATGCACTTAAGGTTGCTGTCATGTTGTATGCAACACTGTGTAGTCTGATATAAAGGTTTTGGAGAACCGTGCAGACTCAGTTTTCAGGGACTCATTTATTTACTCACAGCATAGCTGATATTTTATTGGTAGGAAGCCTCGTTAGAATTTTGAAAAAAGCAGAGAACTGTTCTTATGTTGTCTTTGTGAACTCACTTATGGCATGTGCTCATGAAAGGTCACTCCCTGACTTGATATTTTCAGCCTAGTTCATATGTATAACCTAATGTAATTATCTGGGTTGTTGACTGTAAATTATATAAAAAGCATTTTTTTTTGGAGGAACATGGTGTCCCTGTCAACATGGTGGACTTACACTCTGAAGATGGGGGCAGTATGTTCTTTTAAAACTTACATATGCAGTGTCATACATCAGAAGGGCACAGTCTAAATGTCCAGGGAATTTGCGTGAGATTAGAACAAATTTCACTTTTGTGAGATTTTCACATATTTTTGAGTACACAAGTAATTGTGTATATGGGTTTCAGGCCTCTAATACTTTAAGACGGGTAGACAGACGAACTGGTGAGAATTACTAGGCTTTCATTACAAAGCTAAAAAGAATGCCTTATGTTGAGATCATGTTTTCATATCTGTCTGATTCTGGCTGAATATTGCCATTTAAACCATTGGAAATGTTTTATTAAATTTAGTGTGGAAAACTCTCTTTAAAAGTTGTCATACATTTCTGATTTTGAGCCGCATTGACCCAGAAAGTTGGTAGAAATATAAAGTTTTCCCTGTGCTTGATTAGAGATGTGTAAGGAAGTAGAGACATGGCCACACATTCTTAACATAGGTACCAGATGGAGGTGAGTTTCATGCTTCAGTCACTTTACCATCAGTGAAAACCCCTGAGAAAATATTGAATAAGAAGCTGTGTGAGATCTGAGAGCTGGTCTCGATGCTGTGGAGGAGAGAGAAATCTCAAATCCCAATTCATTAGTTGTTCAGCCTGTGGTCCAGTCACTGTATTGACTGAGCTAACTCAGCTGCAATATCAGCCAATAACAAAAATTAATTTACTTAAAGGCTGTAAGCAGACTCATTCAATTTATATTAGAAACCATTGATCAAATAGATGAAAAATAAGTGCAATAAGATGTAGACAACAGTGGATTTATGTGTTAATATGTTTCCGTATGGAGTACACCTTTAATAGTATTTACGTGTATATATATATATGTATATTTGTTTGTTTTGTTTTTGTTTCGAAACAGGTATTTACAGTCTGCTGTGATTTAGTTTACTGCTGTTTATTACACTACTTCGTACATTTCACTACCTCTACTTCTGAGGACAGACTCAAACTGTACTGCCTCTCTTGGCTAGCAACTAAGGTTGTATACAGGGCCCGTGCCATAGCTCAAGTGGTTAGTTGCTGGCTTCCCACCGCGGCGGCCTGGGTTTGATCCTGGGTCTGGTCAAGTGGGATTTGTGGTGGACAAAGTGGCGCTGGGGCAGGTTTTCCCCCAGTATTTTGGTTTCCCCTGTCAATCTTCATTCCACCAAGTGCTCCACAATCACCCTCACCTATCATCTGGGGCTGGTACAATAGGCCAGAAGTGGCTGCAGTACAAGGGACTTACTCCCACCCCACTAGCAATAAAAAAAGGTTGTATACAAGTTATAGTTCTAGAATAGTGCAGTAGAAATGGGAGAGATGAAGCAGACTTGATTTCCTGAAGGTGGAAGAGTTGGGAGGACTGGAACGTTTGGTGGCAATGTGCACACACATATGCTGGTATGATTTGCTTTCCTCCATGCACTCACACTGTGTGACACACTGTAGACATATGTGCTTATTGTTGCAGAGAAGGCTACAAATCCAAGGAATCACATCACAGATACAGCAGCCGTGGTGGAGATCTGCAATGTTTTGAACAAGGAACCTTACTGTGCTCACGTTGCAACGAGGGTGATCGCGAACAAAATGCAATCATGCCAGGAGTGGGAAGCACTGCAGGCCCTTAATGTAAGTATTCTTGTTTCCCTATACTCGTAGATGCTGGGTCTGTTTTGTAATCCTGATTTGCGGAGTTAGGCCCAGCATGATTATGTGTGTGTGTGTTCTAGATGTTATTTAATTTGTTGTGTGTTTAGTATAAAAATAGTAATTTGAAGCGATGTTGTCATGCAGTTGCTGGACACTTGTATGAAGCACTGTGGGGTAGGCTTCCATGCAGAAGTAGGGAAGTTTCGCTTCTTGAATGAGATGATAAAATTGGTGTCACCAAAGTACCTCGGTGGACAGACTGCTTTGGCTGTGAGACAGCGAGTCTTACTACTCATGCACACGTGGACAATCGACTATCCTCGGGAAACAAAAATCAAGGAGGCCTACGAGATGCTGAAGAAGCAAGGTGTTGTTAAGGTATGTTGAATGTATTTGTAACATGAGAAGGATTTATATGTATAAGAAATTATGATCTCACAGTTTTAAGGCTATTATTCTGTACTTTGCCCACCTTCCTAGTTTTTTAGTATAAAAGTACAGTGTTTTGGAAATGTCTTTTCTCTCCCACCGATGGTTTTTATTGTGAAACAGCTTTTTTCCCTTGGATTGGAATAATTTATTAGTCTTCTCCCACAGATGACAGCTTGTATGTGTGGTTTTCTTGTGTTTGACTAGCACTACCAGGGGCCCAGAAAAACATGAGTTCTCTCATATTTTCTCCTCATGAAGTTGGAGATAGAACTTTTACGTGAACAATTTAATGAGCAAGTAGGATTTGGGGTTCTCGCAGCAGTGGTTATGAAGGGTTGTGTCCACTGTGGTATAACACTGTGTAGTCTGTTGGAAGTCAGCCGATGTTTTGAAGGAACATCTTGCCTCCTCCTTCAGCCACTGAAACATCGATTGACTTTCAGCACACTATACAGCAGCAGTACATCCCAAAATATAGAACTTCATATACTGAGCAAGTTGGTTCAGGCAGTAGTTCTTCCATCTCGTATTCAGGAGGTGCCTGGTTCAAATCTCAACTGAGATACCTAGTGTTGCAACTGAGGGTTTCTTTCGTCCGTCCAGTCACATGCTGAGGTGGTACATCAGGCCACTGCTGCTTCCTGCCACATCCTTTCCAGTCCATAATTCATTAACCAGCCTGCTGTTCAGTAGTATTGATCATGATCTGCTGAAGAACTTGTTATATAAACTGTAAATACTGAAATAGGTTATTTTTATATAAAGAGGAAAGGTTCATATACAGAGTTCGAAAGACCTTATCATTATGTCACATCACCATGATGTTACCCATGCAGTTTGCATTGAAACATCTGACAACACTATTTCTATAATGCAAACGTAAGAATGAGACGAGTTCCAGTTTTCCAGTTGATACTCTTTAATAACATTCAACACTAAATTATAGTGCCACGTAAAGTTCTTCTTTGAAGGTGATTTTCAACCTATCCAGAACTTCTTTGAGGGGGACATCATACCTTGTGTAGGCAACCTGATGGAAGAAAATTTGAAAGGTTCAAAAATATCTCTGGTGTGGTGATTTTGGTTCCCATTGTGTGTTGAAAATAGAGTACATTAATTCTCTAATCCACCGTGAACAACACTGATGGTGAAGCCATAGCTACTAATTATTTCTAGCTTAGTCTCTGAACCATTTTGCAAAACAGTTTGAAAACGCTTGCATTGGGGGTGATGTAAAGTAATAGGTAAGTTGTCAGCCTCATGCCCTGGCTGCTTCACCCCTAATGATAGAGCCCCTGATACTGAATGGATAGGAGGCTGGATGGGTCCTCTAGCCGGTCCAGATGCTGTGGAGAACAGAGAAATCCTTGGGTCTTCTGAGAAGAGAACTACGATTCCTTGGTGAGCCAGCGAGTAACTATGTTGCTATACCAGCTGAGCTATCATGGGCCCTTTAATTATGATGTTCTTAGAAGAACCAGAGTATATTATCTGAAGCATAGTCAAATGTATGGAAATACGTGGTGCAATCCAAAAGTTCCCGAAATATATTAATAAAAACTATTAGATCTTACCTACTAGATCTTATTCTGCACCATCACCTTCAAAGTAGTCCCCTTGGGAGTGCATACACCGATCCCAGCGTTTCTTCCACTTTTCATATTCATCCTGGAAGTCTTTCTTTGTTAGCATGTTTAGTACTGTCTGCATTTCCACTTGAATTTCCTCAACTGTATCAAATCTTCGTCCCTTCAACTTGATTTTCATCTTGGGGAAGAGAAAGAAGTTGCATGGAGCTAAGTCTGGCGAGTACGGTGGGTGGGGAACAACTGCCATCTTGTTTTTAGCCAAAAATTCCTGCACACTGCTGTATGCGGTCATGCGTTGTCATGGTGGAGTACCCAGTCGTACGTGCGCCACTTCTCTGGACGTTTTCTGCTCATGTTCTCCCTCAAACGCCTTAGAACATTGCGATAGAACTCTTTATTGACTGTCTGACCAGGAGGGATGAACTCCTTATGAACAATCCCGTCAGTATCAAAAAAACAGATCAACATGGACTTAATGTTGCTCTTGACTTGTCGAGCTTTTTTTGGCCGAGGTGAAGAAGGGCTCTTCTATTGCGACGATTGCTGCTTGCTTTCAGGGTCGTAGCCATAAACCCAACTTTTGTCACCAGTGACAACCTTCGAAAGAAAGTTTGGATCCTCTTGAAGCTGTTGCTGAAGTTCTCTGCAGACTTCCAAGTGATGCTGCTTCTGTTCATTTTGCATCAGTTGTGGCACAAACTTCGCCACAATCCTCCTCATGTTCACTTCCTCTGAAAAAATTCGTTGACATGTACCATAACTTAGTCCCAAGGTGTTATGGAGGTCTTGGATGGTCAGTCTATGATCAGACCCCTAACTTTTGCAACATTTTCTGGTGTGGTGCCTGTTGACGGCCGTCCCGAACGATCGTCATCATCAGTTGATGTTCGGCCATTTTAAAACGCTTATACCAGTTGTAAGTTTGTGTCTGGCCTAAACTGTTTTCACCAAAAGCTTGCTTCGACATTTGGTGCGTTTCTGCAGCGGTTTTCCCAAGTTTGAAACAAAACTTTATACAGACACGCTGCTCTCTCAGGTCAGCCATCGCAAAACCGTAAACTCATGGAAACAGAACAATGGAAATATGTTCACCAACAATAAACTCAGCTACTCAACTTGACGCCGCTTGCCACACTGATTCAAGAAGGATGTGTGAGGAGACACCTAGCGGTATTTTGATGTACTCATAACCATTCGTCCGCAAAATTCAAATTTTGGAAACTTTTGGATTGCCCCACGTATAATATTTTTATATGCATTTTATACTATTTGTGCCAAGATCAAGAATGAGGAGCTGTACCTCCACTCCCTTATATGTCTTCATGGCATAGTACATAATTAATTAAGCACAGGGACAGCTCTGCCTTTTTGTATACTACTTACTTGTTTACATACTTACTTACTCCTTGGCTGTGTGTGGTCCTTTGAGATCCCTGGCTTCCTTTACAGTGAACAAAACAATTTAAAAGATTTCCAGTAAAGTGTAAATAAAACAAAAAGCACAAAAAACAACAAATGAAATTTCAGCATGCTCAAATGGATAGGCACCGCCTCTGTGGTCTAGTGGTTACAGTTCCTGGCTACAGATCCAGAGGTCTGGGTTAGATTCCTGGAGCTACCAGATATTTCTCTGAGAAGTAGTGGGTTTGGAACGGGGTCCACTCAGCCTCATAATGATAATTGAGGAGCTCTTTCAAGGAAATAGTGGCTCTGGTCTAGAAAACTGAAATTAACTCCCATGGGGATTCATTGTGCTCACTACGCGACACCCTCCATCCGCTAAAGTTGGCACCAACTTCGCCGACAAGCGGTGGTCACTTGGTCGGTATAGTTCTCTTGTGGACTACAGGCCACGGAGTTTAGTTTTGTTTTTGTTTGTTCAAATGGATAATCAGCATGCCAGTTATTCTCCAACTTTTGTACCCATTATCTAAAGTTTCTTATGTTTTCAGGAGGAACTGCCATACATTAGTAGTAGTGCAAGCAGCAGTGAGAAAGAGGTCCCTGTTCCTCCACCACCCCCACGTCCAAAGAACTCCATCTTTGAGGATGAGGAACGGTCACGACTCCTGCAGAAATTATTACAGAGCAAGAATCCTGATGATCTGCAGGCGGCTAATAGGTTAATTAAGACTATGGTGAAAGAGGTACTTGAACTGCAATACAGATCTTATGTGTGGAGTATGGAGGGTGCGCAGGAGGGTTGGGTGGGTCTGGGGTGTTGTGCTTGTTTGCTCAGAAACTCATCTGAGCATGAAATTTAGAAATAAGATTAGTAGTAGGCAAGGCATGTTCAGGAGCTTATACTGTATACTCTTGTCTTCTCTGTGGTCTTGTGGTAATGTGCATAAAGTATTTTTTCTAGGCAGATGTACATGGTTTAATGCATAAAGCTGTGTTTTTGGTATTTGCATTCCCTCTCACCATGTGGTACCACAGTGGCAAATGATAGAAAACGTACTGAACAGGCTGTCATAGGGTAACACTGTACACTTTTATTTGGGTAATGCTGGCTTTGAATCTTAGCCGTAGTTTTCTTGGTTTTCCTGAGTTCCTTCCAAATCTTTTCCAATTTATGATTCATTTATCATCCAGCCATTTTGGCATGATATAGTCTAGCTACTGACATCATCGTAAAATACCGTATTTACGCATGTATAGGCCACACATTTTTTGCCAAAAATTCAAGAGGAAAACTGGGGTGCGGCTTATATTCGAAATATTCGAAATCACACTTCATTTAAAAAAAATATATTCATAATTAGTAATACAGTGTGTAATACTCCTGAAATAATATTCCAAGAAAATGATTTTTTTCTATAATTTCTGTCTGAAAATTGTGCTGCGGCCTATACATGCGTAAATACGGTATACTGCAAAAAGAATATGAATTTAAGGGCAAGTGAGTAATGAAGGGGCTTTTTCTTACAGTTCTCTGTTATGTGTCAGGGAGTTGAGGTGCCCTGTTATTTGCATTGTCTGAAGTTCATTACGTATGGATCTAGAAGTTCAGATTGTGGTCTTTTGGTTTTTGAAATCACATAGCCATGGTGATAGATACTGACGGTTCTGAGAAACTAGATGCTTCCATTTTCAGGGTTGAAGTAGTTAGGGTGGATATGAAGCCAGGTTTAACCAGGGAGAAGGGAGAGGAGGAAGAGCTCTGTCAGGACCAATAGGAATGATGAAACAGAACTTTCAGAAACTACCTTTGTCACCATGTGTATAAGCTGGATACATTCTCAGTGTAAACACCTCAGCCCAGAAGACAGAGACACCGTCTTCCTTCGAAACATTGGTATTGACTTGCAAGACTTCACGGTGGCACAGCAACCTAGAAAACCACAATCTGACCACTGACTGCTTTGAAAACCTAAATACTTCTATGCACATTAAAGATTAATCTGATAATATCTACATAGTCACAAGCAGTTCCTTGCAGGATGAGTATCGTGTGGAGATGAACAGTAGGAGGGTAACTGAACTTGAATCTGTTCACAACAATGTGAGGCTATTGAGTGAGATGCTTGATCAGTATCAGCTCGGTCAGACATCAGCAGAAGAGTTAGAACTTATCAAGGAGCTTCATCAGAGCTGTGAACGACTTCGACCCAGTGTCTTCCGACTTGCTTCAGAGACACAGGATAATGAATCGATGTTGAGTGAGTACAGGTTTGACAAGTGTGAATGCATGGTGCTTCATGTAATTGGTTGATGCTTTCGTACTTGCACAGATAAATTACTGAATGGGAATATGTTTACATGGTGCATCAGAACTTGCTTATGTATTTTAATTTTAAAGATTGCAATACAATTCATTTCTGATTGTTTTTGATGAAGATGCATTCTTGTAAATCGTAATACGTTGACTGCCAAGGCCTGCCACTGAACTATAAGCTAGGAATGCCAATGCTGCTTGGATGTAAATGCAATTGCAGAGAAAACCCACAGTAATCTCTTCATATAACCATCAAACAAAACCAGATATTTCATCTGAAAGCCTCTTCTTTCCTCTAAATATCAGCATGTAAAACTTTTTGTCATCATTGACAGGATCCTATACTGATTGAATAACAATGAGCTGATCTCTTCAGCAGTGACAGGTTTTTCTTAAGCTTGTTAAAGGACACTGTCATTATCAAGACTATATATAGTGTCGATAATAGGATTATTAATGAATGTGAAGCAATTGGTAGAATGAGAATTGGTGTTGGAAACAGAAGTACTTTAAGTAGACCTGCCCGAGTTCCACTTTGTGCACCACAAATGCCACATGACCTGACCTGGGATTGAACCGGGACCAGAATTGTGGGGAACCAGTGACAGCCTGTGGCAGTTCTGTAATGCAAGTACCCTGAACCAGTCTTGTTGGTATGTGGGGTGCAAGGTGTTAATGTTATCCATGAACAGAGTTGTTTTAAAATAAAAGACAGTGTTCCAGAAGCTGAACCATCTTCTGTCTTCAAACAATAGGAGGAGACTGTTGGAAAGAGTTAGTCTCAGTCATGAGGCCGCACCATAGTTCAAGTGGTTAGTTGCTGGCTTCCCACTGCGACGGTCTGGGTTCGATCCCGGATCTGGTCAAGTTGGATTTGTGGTGGACAGAGTGGCACTGGGGTGGGTTTTCTCCTAGTACTTCAGTTCCCCCTGCCAATCTTCATCCCACTAAATTCTCCATCATCATAATCACCCGGGGCAGGTTACAATAGGCCAATCAGCAGCCGCTGTGCCGAGTGGACCCAGCTGGACTCCACCCCTCACTAAGTGAAAAAGAAAAAATAATAATAGTCTCAGTCACTGATCCACTGATTTACATGTCAGCTTCCCTCTAGATCTCAGGATTTCTAAGTAAAATTTTGTATGCACTTCTCATCTGTTTGATACTTGCTATATATGCCACCCATTCCTTGATCTGGTTATTTTGATAATATTTGATGGCGGATGCACATTATGAAGTGCCCCATTATGTGCTTTTCTCCATCCTCTTGTTACTGCCTATCATTTATGTCCTAATATTTTCCGGAGTATCCAGTTCTCAGATATCACAGACCATACAGATATTTATACTACATGAAACATTATGTTTTTCAGATGAAGTGCTGAGTGCCAGTGATGAGCTAGGTCAAGTGTTTGACAAATACACAGCTGTTATTGTACAGGGAAGGAAACTTCCAGCACAACATTCAAAATCAGGTTCTGCGTCCTTACTGGATTTAAGTACACCGAGTGAAGAGAAACTTCCACCAGTCCCAGTTGAACTCCTTGGCCACCAGCTCGCAGGCTTAGGTACTGGTTTTTGTTTAAAATGATTCATGCTGCCTTCTGAATGAAGTTCAGGATGTTGTTCAGGATCTTCACTGCAGTGAAGTCTCTTCAGATAGGGCAAGGGCATATCAAAGAAACTGGCAACCGCAATGTAACCACAACTTACAAAAAAGCATCACTTATTTGAAGCATGCTACTCGTTTCCTGATTAGCAGGCGCACACTGAGGAAACTTATGTTTGATTAGTTGCTCACATCATCTCAAGTGGTTGTGTTCATCCGGTTTAATATGTGAATGTCATTTTTATTTTTGTGCACTTCTTTTCTGCAGCGTCAGATAATAATACTGGTCCTATCATAATATGGTGGTTGAGACGGCATAAGACGAGAAAACATGAAAAGAAATCAATTCTTCTGTGATGATTTGAACTTAGGGGCCTTTATTATTTTGAAATAACTTAACCAGGATTGAGAACTGTTCAAATCATTTTACCAAATGAACATTGGAACCTTTTTTTTTATGGATACTATAGGAACTCAAGTTTGGAAAAAAATAAATTTTCATGCAGCTGTGTCAGCAGAAGAAAGACCACTGATTACACTCAGGTAAGGAAAGTATTTATTGCTATACTTAATCTTCAGATGTCTAAACAAATACCATACTATTGCTAGACATCGTGATTTTATGTTGCTAGTTACAATAAATTTCTGTCATCTGTGCAAATTGAATGCAAGGTTTAAAACTAGGCAGAAATTAAGGCTCTTGTACTATTTTGATCTTCTTATTGCACACATTTACAAAAAAGAAGATCAGATACAGGCAACTGTAGTTGTGATATGTTGTTTCTGTTTTTAGGCATTTCACTATGGGTAGCAATTTCGTGGCGTTAAGTTTACAGTTTATGATGGGGAAGAGAACAATTTTGGTCATAATAGCAGACACTACATCTGCAGTGTGGGTGACATTACAACCCCTGTTGATGTTACCATGAAACAAATCAAAATAGAAACAAATTGCAGAAAAATATCTTAATTTTTTGAACTTGCCAAACAGCATAAGTTTGATAGATGGGAAACATATCTGCATGAAATGCTTCCCCAAGTCTGGGTCATTATACTTCAACTACAAGGGCTGTTTTTCAGTAATACTACTGTCTTGTGCAGGTACTGGTGCCCTGTTTACTAGTATCCATGTCAGGCATTTTAACAAGAACAGTGATGGCTCTGTGTTTAGGGTCTCTACCCTGGAGAGATGATGAAGAAGGAAGANTTCAGTTCCAGACGACTCAATGAAAAATCTTGGCTTCCCCAGAGAAACACCAATTACCGTAATAAATCCCCTCATGCGATTGACGAATAAAATCCAGCCCCAAATATATGTTCATTGACAAAGGACACCCTCAAATCACAGTTTCTTTTTCATCACACACAGGTGCGCGTGTGCCAAATTTCATGCAGCTCATCTGGATCCAGATGTCTGGAATTATGTGCACGTTCCATTTTGGGGGCGGCAGGGGGGTTTGCTGATTGTTCGGATACACTGATACCGAAAGTCACAGTGATGAGGATGCCTTTTATTCACAACGTAATTTTGTGACAGTCTGACACTGACTTCCTGACTCCACTGACTTCAGTACAAAACAAAAAAAGTAACCCTGAAAGCACAGTCCGCCACTGACTCACCAGCTGATAATTCAGACACTCACTAAACGNACTGAGGAAACTTATGTTTGATTAGTTGCTCACATCATCTCAAGTGGTTGTGTTCATCCGGCTTAATATGTGAATGTCATTTTTATTTTTGTGCACTTCTTTTCTGCAGCGTCAGATAATAATACTGGTCCTATCATAATATGGTGGTTGAGACGGCATAAGACGAGAAGACATGAAAAGAAATCAATTCTNAACTTCCAGCACAACATTCAAAATCAGGTTCTGCGTCCTTACTGGATTTAAGTACACCGAGTGAAGAGAAACTTCCACCAGTCCCAGTTGAACTCCTTGGCCACCAGCTCGCAGGCTTAGGTACTGGTTTTTGTTTAAAATGATTCATGCTGCCTTCTGAATGAAGTTCAGGATGTTGTTCAGGATCTTCACTGCAGTGAAGTCTCTTCAGATAGGGCGAGGGCACATCAAAGAAACTGGCAACCGCAATGTAACCACAAGTTACAAAAAAGCATCACTTATTTGAAGCATGCTACTCGTTTCCTGATTAGCAGGCGCACACTGAGGAAACTTATGTTTGATTAGTTGCTCACATCATCTCAAGTGGTTGTGTTCATCCGGCTTAATATGTGAATGTCATTTTTATTTTTGTGCACTTCTTTTCTGCAGCGTCAGATAATAATACTGGTCCTATCATAATATGGTGGTTGAGACGGCATAAGACGAGAAAACATGAAAAGAAATCAATTCTTCTGTGATGATTTGAACTTAGGGGCCTTTATTATTTTGAAATAACTTAACCAGGATTGAGAACTGTTCAAATCATTTTACCAAATGAACATTGGAACCTTTTTTTTTATGGATACTATAGGAACTCAAGTTTGGAAAAAAATAAATTTTCATGCAGCTGTGTCAGCAGAAGAAAGACCACTGATTACACTCAGGTAAGGAAAGTATTTATTGCTATACTTAATCTTCAGATGTCTAAACAAATACCATACTATTGCTAGACATCGTGATTTTATGTTGCTAGTTACAATAAATTTCTGTCATCTGTGCAAATTGAATGCAAGGTTTAAAACTAGGCAGAAATTAAGGCTCTCGTACTATTTTGATCTTCTTATTGCACACATTTACAACAAAGAAGATCAGATACAGGCAACTGTAGTTGTGATATGTTGTTTCTGTTTTCAGGCATTTCACTATGGGTAGCAATTTCGTGGCGTTAAGTTTACAGTTTATGATGGGGAAGAGAACAATTTTGGTCATAATAGCAGACACTACATCTGCAGTGTGGGTGACATTACAACCCCTGTTGATGTTACCATGAAACAAATCAAAATAGAAACAAATTGCAGAAAAATATCTTAATTTTTTGAACTTGCCAAACAGCATAAGTTTGATAGATGGGAAACATATCTGCATGAAATGCTTCCCCAAGTCTGGGTCATTATACTTCAACTACAAGGGCTGTTTTTCAGTAATACTACTGTCTTGTGCAGGTACTGGTGCCCTGTTTACTAGTATCCATGTCAGGCATTTTAACAAGAACAGTGATGGCTCTGTGTTTAGGGTCTCTACACTGGAGAGATGATGAAGAAGGAAGAAATGTGTATTCCATTTCCAGCTTCCTTTCCACTGGATGACAGCCTCAAAACCTTTCTCTACTGCTTCATAGCAGATGAAGCATTTCCATTGAAAATAAATTTAATGGGACCTTGCCCTAGAAGATGCTCTGTCATGCCCAAAAAAGTGTAGAATGTTCATTGGATATACTAAATATCAAGTTGAAGATATTTTAGGGACTGATATGCTGCAAAGAAGAAACTGTGTGTTCAATTGTTAAAGCATCTGTTGTCCTCCATAATTTTGTTAGAACCCAGGAATTGCTGTTTTACAAAGGAACAGAAAACTGTGCAATAAATCAAGTTATTACATTTTAAATGAAGGTGATGTGATGGAAGGCAGAGGTTATCGAGGACACAGCACCTGTGAAATCAGCTGGCTGAGTATTTATTAATGCCAGCAGGAGCAATTCCATCTCAGTGGAGTTATATTAATTGAATTCAACTGATAAATTTTGGAGGATGAGCACTAACTTAATTGCTGGTTTGTTTCACCCAGCATGGGCTGTGTTTTATTATTTTGTTTTCTCTGCTTTAGCAGACCTATTCTGTATTTGGATCCTATTATAAGCTCTAATTATAAAATATTATATTTTCATGTTAGACTCTTCACCTCATGAGAAATTCTCTCCCAAGCCATATCATTTTGTCCCATCTAACATGGTCTGGGTGGAATTTGTCATATATGCCTGGCTCCTGCTTAGTTAATGGCACAAAGGCAAAAGTAGCAGCTTCATCAACTTCTCCTGCCATCTAAAGAAGCAAGTGAATCACAGAAGCACATTAGAACAGCTGAAACTAGTAAACTATGTTGC